CGTTTCTTCTTAACACGTGTTTCTCAATTTCCTGTACACATCGCGGAGAGGGAAATTCTGGCCTCCAGGTTCCATCGCCAAATCCCTTGGCAAATTTTCCCTCCGCTTTCTAGCCGCGTAATAGCATTTACGTGTATGGAACCTTTTCTTTTACATAGACGTTCTTTGGTTAGAATAATCTTCATGTATGATACAGCGGGATTTGGCGACATGATGATGAGCAGTAAACGAGCAATTTTGTTCTTGTCGACAATTTTCAAAATCGTGCGAAGGCCGTACCGTATACTAGGATTTTACCGCAAAATCTTTTTTTTTTCTTTTCTTTTTAATAAATACCTTGTCATTTTGCAGTAAAATAAAAAAATAGTAATCAGTTATCTAGGCTAACCATGTAATATAACTATATTCGCTAAAATATCGTTGATTATTCTAATTCAATTTTTAAGTAATTATCTTTATTTTTATGTTATTCATATCATTTAATGTTGCTTCTTCCCTCTAAATTTATTTATCATTAGTAAATAATATTTCTAAATTTCAGGAAATTTTCTCTGGCATAATCCTGAAATTAATCCTAGCAGTATGATGACATCACGAAATTTAATGCACATATTTTTTCCTTATGTATGCTGCAAAATAAATATAAAATACCTCAATTTAGTAAAAAAAAATCATTAAATAGATTTCTTTCTTTCATTTAGCTGCAGAATGTCTGCAAAAAAAGCCTTATTTTATTCCAGATTGGGGAGATTCTAATCTCAGTCTTCAATGGAGAAAACAACTCCTATTATATTTGTGTTTTCAAATGTTAAGGTGCCTTTTAAGAAGATGGTGGCTTGGCAAATGCGGTCAAGAGCAGGAGACTGACGTTAATTACGGAAGGGGAAAGTAAACGGCTGTGTTAGGGATCATACGGGGAGATATATTTTAAAAGAAAAGTGTTTTTAGGTCTCATTCAGTATCAGTATATCAGGAATATATATCGCGCACTGGAGATAAAAAAAAAAATTTCGTACAGTGTTGTCATTGCTCGCTTTAAAATCGCTGAGTTTGTTAATCAAAAATTCGTTGAAGTGTTATAAAATATGAAATCAATAATAAAACAAATTTTAAATTCAAATTAGGGCTTCCACATGCGATATTCTATGGAAGATTACATTATTCAAATTTTGATGGCTCTAGGTACCGTTGTTTTATCAAAACATACATACATTCATGCAGACTCTTCATTATTTCATTATTTAATTTCTTTAAATATAATACAGGGCGATAATATTTGGTGGCAACAATTTGAAAAGTGATTCGCCGTTTATAGTTTTGAACGCAAAATGCCAAAATGAAATTAATAATCCTTCTGGGCAAATTGCGCCTTTGAACTAATAATGTATTCCAAGAGCGATGGGCGATGCCTAGCAGTAAGGGTTTGGAATCAAGAATATATTTTCGCAGAACCATTATATTACTTGCAAGTATTTCATTAACTGATATCGTTAAATTTTGAAATTTCATATAAACTAGAAAAGGGATATAAAAATTAGGAAATATTTTATTTTTAAATAAACGTTCAATTTATGTGTAGATAGCTGCAAATATTTTACTCAGTTGTTGTAGCAGAGCTGTAATTTTATTGGGGGAGGGGAAACTAGGAAAGTCCACTGGTTAAGTAATGAAAAATCGAGAAATTTTTGCGATCGAGGAGCAAAACGCTTTTTTCTGGGAGGGGCGTTCTCTGTACCAGAAACGAAGCAATAACACTGATAACTAGCATGTAACTAAATAAAATATTATACATTTTTTTTTAAATTACAAATTTACATTTATTAATCAATTCAAGAAATGCATACAAAAGCATTAAAGTCAAGATTACTGTTTAATTTGACGGTATTTTTAGACATTATGCTGTACATAAAACGGCTTTTCTTCGTTAAGAAGGTCGTTTTTAAAAAGGTACCCTTTTTCATCGAAATCGTCAGCACTGATACGAAATAAAGGGCGATTTATACTATACCTCAATTTTCTGGCCTGTAAGACGCGCAGTGATTTATCAGGTTCAAACTTGGAAAAAATACTTAGACAGAAAGCGATTAAGTACCTGTTTTAATGATAACACTTTATACAACGAAAATGGAACTGTTGCATTAAAAAATTAGCAAATACATCAGCGTTTCTTAGAATCCCAGAAATTCGTCATCACTGTTTCTAAAATTATAGTTATTTTCACTTAGGTTGTAACTGTAACTAGATTTGCCACTTTCTTAAAACACAATGTCATCCTTATTTCCACCTAGAGCACTGCTAATTCCACACTTTTTAAAAGATATGTTGTAGGATAAAATTGGATAATAGGATAAATGTATTTTTCAGTATTAACTTCATTCTGAAGAATTTTCTGCAGTCTAGTTTGCGTTATTTTATTCATAAGTCTCAAATTAAAAACAATTTAATGTTTATATGTCATTAGAAAATTAACCAAAAAGCAGCGACCACAATGTAATTGAAAAGCAGTCCTTAGACGTGAAAAGGTTGAAGAAAATAGTCTTAACGCAAATGTTAAGACTATTTTCTCAGATACTCAGCTACTTCACATACATGGAACATAGCATTCGAAATGAAAAATTCAATATTTACTACAAATTCATTGATGTAACAAATATCTGTTTTTCTACACCTACTTTAAAAAAAGATGTTATTTGCCTCACAGTTTATAGTTCAATAATACATTTTCATTGTACAAAATTGCATTCATTCGAAGAATTCCATTTGTATTTTCCTCTGTATAAAAACTGAGTGTAGAGAAGTTAGATGTTTAAACGACCCCCACATTTTCTCAAGACCAGGAGCAAGATTATCTCCTTCTTTTCACCCCCCCCCCGGTGAAAAAAGGGGTTCTAAATTTACGACCTGACCGCATATGAGGTGATTTCTAAGAAGACACCTCACACAAATTAAATTTACCTAAAATCTAACCTAACATTTAGCATTGCGTTGTGATTTATAAGAACCAGATTAGCCTCATGTTGAACTGGTGATGATCATGAGTAATAATTAAATAAAACGTACAATTGTTATCCAATGTATATATCTTAAAATTTTATTAAGTTTCTTAAGTGGAAAAGTAAACAAAATTATCAAACAAAGTGTACCAAGAATAATTAAGAATAAACGTCCTCTGGGATTTATTGAATAATTAAGTGAATTTGCTACACAGTACAACTAATACCATAATTAATTTACCTCTTAGCACAGCCAACGTACATTACGTGGATAGACTGGAATTTTCTCGAAACATACCTGGAAAACCCGGAAAAGTCGGGGAATTTCATTCTCCTGTTTGAGTGGCAACCCTGTTTAAAGAACATATATATAAACATACATTTTTACATTAATCCTCTTAGAATAAATATTTTAAGTAGTAATTTTCTCTCGTGTTATAGATTACATAAAAAGCATCTTTTTTTAATATAGAGAATTTCATTAACTTTTAATTTGCTTTTTACGAATAGAGAATGTTTGTTAAATTTTTTAATATAGATATTTTTAGGCTTAAAAACTCTGAATAATTATGATTAAAATTTTTTCCACCCGATATAAGAATTGGGTCACTCATTGGTATAGGATAAGTGCTGTTGGAGTGGTTTATTTTTTTCTCATGTAACAAAAATCTTTTAATTCAAATATTTATCATTTGAACTTTGCTTTAAACTTTATTTATAGTTAAAATTCTAGAAGCTGTCTTCACCAGCAAATAGCAGCAATTGAATTTGCCCTAACAGAAAAGACAAAAACAATATCATTACAAATTAAAATGAAGAGCGACTGGTTTTCGAATATATGGTTGTATAAATTTAAATTACTTCATAGAGCATCATATCATATCATAAATGGAGCATCCCATGATTTCTCAGTCGAATTATTTAAAGATTTCGGAATTTATCCAGTGTCGCATATAGATATCAGCTAAAGACATTTTTCCTCTTGATGAAAACAGTCTATCCTTCGCAATTCGAATGAATGAATAGAAAAATTTAAAACACTTATCTGAAGAGATAATGCAAAACAAAAAACTAAAATAAAAATCTAAAAATTCAAAAATTACCTAAAATAATAACTTTGGCTAAAAAATATAGTATAAAGAAAACTATTTGAAAAAAAATAATAATTGATGCACCTTTTATTTAAACTATGCAGTTCGAATGAGCAAATAAAAATTTTCTAAAAGTTATTTGAAAGAAACCATGCAACTTAAACAATTAAAAAAAAAAAAAAAAAAAAAAAAAAAAAAAAATTAAAATAATAACATAAAAACATTATTTGAAAGAAAGAACGATGTGACTTTTTTTCTCTCTCACACACAATGTAAAAAGGAAATAGGTTGTCATGTATTAAGAAGTTTGCCAAGTGAACTGTTTTTGGGCGCAAACTAAAAAAAAAAAAAAAAAAAAAAAAAAAAAAAAACACTGGCAATATAAATTTTTGAATTTCTCTGAAAATTTCGAACCAAATTTTACAAAATTTAATATTTAGGCATAATGTAAGTCATAGAATCGAAATATGTAAAAAAATTAGTATGTTATTTTAGAAAAGTCAGATTTTGTCTCAAAATACCTATATTAGAATAGTGCTATATATAGATCTAATATATATCCTAAGTCCCGCTTTCGAGACATGAAAAACAAAATTTGAATTTTGTCAGTCGGCCCAGTAGAATGGAAGATATAGAACTGCCCCCCTTTTTTTGCGTAGTGTACTTTATTATTGCATTATGCAATATTGATTTGTGTCTTACTGTGCATTGTTTATAAAGTAAGCTTTACTGTATTTAGGTATGTTGGATTAATTTCATGGTAATATAGTATTTACCATTATCTGTACTTATATACAAATTTGGGACAGTGATATAATTTGTGTTTGTGTATAATAGTTTTAAAATTTAATTGTTTTTAATTTATAATTTTTTTAATAAACTTTTTAAGGTTTTGTAATTTTTTTCTCTTTTATAGGTCAAGCAAATCTTCAAGAATGTACTCTTATTGCTTTAAAATTAGTGCATGCTACTTTATCAAAACAAGAAGCTTTCCTTCAGCAAATTCGAGACAGTGGTTGTGACCTTCTTGTCACAGCTCTAGACAACTTGCTATTGAATATTAACCCAAGAAGTGGGCAAGCAGATCATTTGCTTGTGATTGCCAAGTAGTTATTATTTCTGAATTTTTATGTTTGATTTACTTCTTCAGTGTGGTCACATAGCCATTTCATTTTCATATAGATTTGATATTAGTTGCTAAATTTTTCTCTAGTTGTTATGTGCAACTTAAAAAAAAATCTTTAATGCTACTGGTAATTTATTTAAAAGATGCTGACTGTTAATATCTGAAAGGGTAGATGAGAGAATTTTATTTGTGTTAATTTCATATTCATTAGTCATATTATAACCTGTAGTTGATATGTAAAAAAATATGTATTGACAAGCAGATGATTATACTTATTCTGTAATTGTGAAAAAATAATTCAGATAAAAGTTGGAGCTAAGAAATACAGAGAGAGAGAGGATGGTCATGAAAAAAACTTGCTCAATATATAAACCCTTTGCCCCTTATTCCCTCAAACAATCAAAATGAAATTTCAGATATTGTTATCTGAAGGTGTGCACTTAAGATTCTGATGATTTAAGGCAATAGAGCTGGCTTGGTACCGGTTACAGTAAAAAAAAATTCAAAATTTTCAAATAGCAACACCCTCTTTTTTTCCTACACAAATCAATCAGCATATTGAAAAACTATAAATCTTATTGGTACTGGTATGGCAAAAATTACTGGTGTAAAACATTTCTAAAGAAGGGCATTGTAAGGGATCAACAAGAACACAGAGAAGAGATGCATTGTTGCACTTTGCAGGATTTACAAGGATAGACAGTAAAAGCACCACTAGCAGAACACCACATGCAAAACATTGCTTGTGGAAAATCTTTAATAAGCAGTGTGGGAAGATTGTTTTTTCAATCAGGTGTTTAAACACGCTAACAAGATGACACTTACAGGGAAACAATGAATTGATAAAGCTGCTCTATCTGATCAAGGTTATTGTCAAAATCATAAGTTAAAACAATGCCCATGATCCGTAAAAACTGTACATGATTTGCTAAACAAATTTGTGGATGTACGTGTAATAGACTGTAATCTAGATGTGCATGTATTCCTGAAGTTGTTGCGGAAGTTCATAATACAATTACTGCAAGAAATTTTGCTTTCAGTTTGGATGTATTGAAAACCACAATTGTCAAGCTTCTGTGCTGTGTTCTGTGGATGTTTCCTTTGAGATTTCAGTGCATCCAAATGTTCAACCAGGAGATGAGCAACAGCGTGTCAACTCTGCAAATGTTTTCCTCAATGGATATGTGATGAAGGTAGGAAGTGGTCCCTGTGGATATTATGGATATTTAAGGCACATTTCTCTTTAACTGGGGATGTTAACTCAAAGTTCTGCATTCAGTGGGCTGACAAAAGTCCTCACCACTTGGCATCAGTGCCTTTACATGAAATTAAAGTGTCTGTATGATGCAGTATTACAAGCACATTCATTTTTAGTCTGTGCTTCTTAGAAGAGGTTATCAGGTTCAATGTTTCTTCTAACCTTCTTCGGAAACATACAATGACCTGACTAGAACACAGAGCTTACTAAAGCTATGTTCACTAATTGTAGTAAGTAGACAGGATACAGACGAAGGGTATACAAAACCCTTTATTTTTTTCTTTATATACAATGACTTCCGTACTTCGGAATACAATGACCCTCCACTCTCTCGGGTCTAACTTAAAAGATATCAAAATAAAACTAAACTAACTCTAATTTAACTTTAGAATAAGATTGGCCTTATAATAACAGGAAGCGTATGTAGCACAGAGACTGTGAACACTACAATACGTTTAATTTATCAAGAGGATTAAAACCTCTGGCCTGGAAGGCAAAGTAGCAACTGCGTAACTTCTAAGGTAAGCGGCCTGCTTCGAACTCACGGCTTCCTCTCTTCTGCTTGGCAAAAGGGCCACACTTAAATACTTGGCGTTCGCCAGACAACTTTGCATAAACTCCTTCACGCTTATAATTCTGGCCGGAAGTAGAAAATAAGAAGTGATAGTAAAGATTTAAAATAAAATAAACGTTAGTAAAACTTAAGATCCTTACATACATACTTCCCGCCAGAGTTAATTAGTTTGAAACTGAGGTCTAAAACGACCTTGTTGAAAACTTTTAGCTCTAGAAAACTAACGCGAGGCCAAACTTTTACAATCATAACTTAGCTAGAAACTAGAAATTTTAAAAGAAAGAAATTTGTTACAATAGCAGCTCCCGGAATATACAACAATCTTTTTTCTTTTTCATCTGTACTGCATCAAAACAGGAGCTTTATTCAATTCTGGTTCCTTCCAGAGATCTGGAAGGAAAACTAGTTTAATGAAATGTTACAGAATGACATTGCAAATAACATATAGAATATACTTTTCTTAACATTCTTATTTCATTCATGACTATTTTAATTATCTCTCCCCGTGCTCTCTGACATGTGTTGTAAAAAACACCAAACACGAATGTGTTTCTGTCTATGTTCCAACACTTCCTCCTACAATCAAAACACTAATGTGTTAAAATTCAACATACGAGACCTCTTAACACACCCTAATTTCAACTCTAGACCCTGAGGTACTATTCTGAAAGTGGCTAACTCTAAAGTGTAGCGTCAGAGAGCCTAACTACATCATTCAACCTTTAACACATATTCACCATGATTTAATCTTTACAGTCACACGAATAACATATTTTTTAACATTACTTTCACTTTTACCATATCACGGTATTTCTTAACATTTAAAATAACAGTTCACATGTATATAAGAACATATCAACCTGCCGTTAATTTTACACATTTGAAATCATACATTAGTAGTACATTGTTAACTTCTATTCTTTTCAAAGCAAGTGCCAACTCTTTCTACATTGAAATAATACTACATTTCAAAAAGTCTTTCAGACTAAAACTTCTTTCTTGCTAGAATGTTTTAAATAAAATTTATAGAATAACTTTTTACAATATTTAAGTCTTTACACAACGCTATTATACATCAACTTTAGTTTTTACTACGCGCGAGTAATTGAAAAACATAATAAGAAAATCGGTCACAACTCATTTCTCGCCCTTTTGGCGATAAAGGTAGACCTCGCATGAGGTAAAACTTCTTGATATCTGCCACTTGCAGTAAGAATGAAAGATTAACTTAAGTTTGTAAAGTAACATAAAATTTTACTTATCTTTGTAATATTCAGACATCCTTTTCTGGGCCCAGTCTTTAAAGGTGCTGCAGACCGTAGCTTGGTTGATCCTCCTTCTTGTACGGGCTCGCCTCGCCCTTCAGTGCTTTCTTCCTCTGGAAGCTTCCGTTTTTCACACACTACGGCCACCCTTGAACATCTTCCTTCTGTCCTCTGCTTGTGGTCTTGGCCGCTTGAAGGCAGCTGGTCTTGGTGGAACCGGGAAACTTCTTCTGTCGTGATCCTGCTTGGACCTCGTTGTTGGCCGTTCAAATTTTTTTCTTGTACTTTTTTTCCTCCGCCGCTGATGGCCCTTCCACAGTTCGGCGACTTTTGCTGCGGAGAGTTCTGTCGGATGAGTCAATCTTCCGTTTCACAGCCGGGTTATAGTTGCCGTCCTTTCCTCCCGGTCTTTTCCACATACGTCGTCCTTCTCCCTTCTTCTTCTTGGGGTGTTCGTGAACTCTGTTTTTTTGTTTGGACGGTGGAACGGGTCTTTTTCTTTGTACCTTCTTTTCTTTGTTACCTTCATTTTCCGCGGGGCAATTTTCTTTTCACTTGCTTCTGTCTCTCATTGGCTTGCCCTTGTACTTGTCGTTTTCCCACCTCTGGAACTTGTACCTGCGGTGTCTGCCGTACCGGATCCTGCAAAAGATCTGAAAAGATTTGCATTTTATTACGATTACGGTCATAGAATGGTTTTATCTGGTCAACGTTTGCGGAACAGGTTTTTTCACCATTTCTTGGCCTTTTAGCACTACAACAGCGTGAGTTAATTTTTTCTATAACAATATGGTCCTTCAAAGCGTGGAAAAAATTTGGCAGTTTTATCTTCTGGTGCTGAAGAAAGTGAATGCTTAATTTTTAGTACAATTCATCCCCTACTTTATAAGTTACTCCCCGTCGTAATACATTCATGTCATAATACAGCTTTTGTTTTCTTTGTGCTACTTCTGTCCGTATTCTTTCTTTGCTTCTTTAATTATTAGTTTTTCTATATCACCCATTTGAAATTCTGGGGCTCTTTGTTGCACATAAAATAATAGTTTATCTAACGGTGTTATAAACCTTTCTGCCTAGAAATAACTCAGCAGGAGTTTTGCCCGTTGTATCATGTTTTTGCGGTCCTAAGGGCGAAAGCAAATTCATTGACATAGTTATCCCAGCTTTTATGAAAATTTTTTAACATAACTACGGATAATTTTCACTATATTTCTGTTGACCCGTTCCGCTATATTTGATTGCGGCCCCGATATGGGACCATTTTAAATGACGTATGCCCAGTTTTTTGGCACATGTCTTCAATATATTACTTACAAATTGAGGACCATTATCCGATATAACTTTTAGGGGCGCCCCGTATCTTAAAATATATTTATTTAAAAAAATAGAATCGGTAACTAATTTCGCGGAGGCTCGTTTTAAGGGAACAATTTCGGTCCATTTACTACTAAATGATCAACCATAACAAGGAGATAGCGACTTTTGTTTAACTGACTTTTGGGAAAGGGCCCAATAAACCAATAATCGATGCCGATTATTTCATTTGGAAATTCGGATTTAATACTATTTAGAAACCCGGCCGGGCGGAAATTAATATAATTAACGGGTTGACATGTTGGGCAGGACTGGACATACGCCCTTGTTAACTTTTGCAGTTCAGGAAAGTAGACTGCCTCGCGTACCGCTTGAGTAGTTTTTCGAATACCCAGCATGAGAAGCTAAAGGGCTGTCATGGAGCTCTTGCAGGATATTTAATCTAAGACTAGCTGGGATAAACAGGTCGAAATTCGTTGTTGGAATTCGTAGTTTTTGTATAAATAAAAATATAGACCATCTATTAGTTCGTAATGGGCCGCCCTATTTCTTATCGCCACAATATCTTG